TTTATGTTTGTTTTTGTTGTAGCTTGAAGTGATTGAAGTTTGAGATTTAATAACAGAACAAGGACATGACCAGTTGCAGTTTCACTCCATTTGGTGGGGGATTAAGGCTTTGTCCTGGTCTTGACTTGTCCAGGCTGGAAGCTTCCATCTTTCTCCACCACTTTGTTACTCAATTCAGGTAAAGATTCTCCAGAAGCTCAAAGATAAATCTAGTCAAATAAAGTTCATTGATCAAACCCAGTGATGAAGCCAAGACCCCTAGCCCCTAAATGAGAGGGTGCAAAATCTTAAAATTTAAGAGCAAGGATGCAAAATATTAAAACGTAAGGCTAACTAGTTTAAAATTTTAAGGGTACACATGTAAAATATTAAAGCCGATATACCAAATTTATAATTTTTCCTAAAGTGAGGGGCAGGGTCTGCCACTATTCAAACCTATGATGAACAACACGTATGTCATAGCAGGTCATACAAAAACAGTGATGGACATGATTACATGTTTATTCGGGATTGATTTGGTTTATTTTTAAAGAAAAAATTGGCATATGTTTGCAATCAAAGTTTTTAATGTATTACACATACGGTGGGATAGTGTTCTTTGAAGTAGCTAAATTATATTTCTATATCATAAAAAATATGGGCATGTCATATTTTTATTAAAGAGGTATTTTGTCCTTAACTCTAATATTTTATGATTACATACTTAACTCCAGTAAGTCAAAAGTGAGTCATTATTAAATGCTTAATTCACAGAAGAAGAGAAACCTTTTCCTGTCATTCTGGGAACCCAGTGGCGTTTAGAAAGGTTTTTTTGAATTTCATTTTCACGGTTCCCTCTCAAGATTAAGAAGGGAAGAGATTCCTCTCCCTCCCTCCCTCCCCCTCTCTCTCTACACGTGCGGGCGCGCGCGTCTTAGTTTGTCCTGTGGGTCATGGATAAAATGTCTTTTTCTTGCAAAGGGGCAAAGATGGAATTATGTTGTAGAATAGTGAAATTTATGGGGCTATAAAGCTTCTCACACTCCACTAGAAAGATAACCTAATTCTAATCTCCTTGGCGTATAATGTGCAAATAAATGGAGTTCTTATCAAGTTTCGCTAAAAAAGCAACAGAATTGCTTGCTGGTCTTGGGCCCTTTCAAGTGTTTGTCTTCTTGTTAATGATGAGAATGACTCAAAAGTAATCATCTCCAAATAACAATTTCAATTTTTTAGGCAGACTTTATATAGATAGATAGATAGATAGATAAATTTAAATTAACCAGGTAATGATGTCTGCAATTTGAGATATGAGCTGGAATAATTACAGGGTAATATGCATTTTATGTTTTATAGTGATATTAGTTATTGATAGACATGTACATATATCAATTCCACTTTTAAAGTAAGATTACTATTCTTTTCTGTTCATGATTGATTTGAATTGACAGAAATGAGTCATATATCATAATCCTCCTACATATTATTTCATTATTTGTATGATTTGAATTTTTACACATGGGCTTCTATGAACACTTGTCCTTGCTAATTGAGCAAGAACAGCTAGGTCCTACGGGCTGGCTTGGCCTTCGTAATATCCAATCCTATCTCCATATTTCTGATGATCTTTGTGTTCTTCCTTATGACACTTTGTGAAGACTGAATCAAATCTTTGCTCGGTTAGTTTGTCCTAAACATTTAAGGGGCTTAAAAAAAAAGGAAAGAGAAAAAAAAAATCTGCTAATCTATGCCATTCTATCATTACCAGATATCTCAGAATTTACTGTTTACTGTTTCAAATGCATGCTGTAGATGGTCAGCAGAAGAAGACGCAATTGTGAACTTCCCCACAGTAAGATTGAAAAGGGGAATGCCAATCTGGGTTAAGAAATTTGGGTCTTGAGCTGAGAAGAAGAAAAGAGAAAGGTAGGGGTCAAGAAGAGTTTGGCTAATGAAAACACACGTGTGCATTGTATTTGACTGTTTTGCAGATGCAGACAATAAAAAGCCTCATCATCTTTCTTTGAAGGACAAATTACTTAGATTCCTCTAGGCCTTTACTTTTCCCCAATTCTTCTTTATGCAGAAAGGAAGTAAAAAGTTTGATTGTAAGGGGGAGCATTAAAAATCTTCTGGTTGAATAGAAAGTTTTATTCTTACTTTTCACCCTTTGTTTTGACTCTCTCTGTTTCTTTCTTTGGAAGAAAGGTGAGTTAAGTGGGTGTGAACAATGCCAATAATGGCTTGTTATTTATATATATATATATATATATATATTATATTGAATGTTGATTAGTTTTATTCAAATTTTAAGAAGATAGAACTTAGCGAACAGTGAGAGAGATATGTTGTTCTTCAAATATCGCTTAACCCAATGGAATAAGATACTCCTATATTGTTCATGATTTCAAAACAGCATGACTCAATGACTGTGCCATTGAATTCTTCAAGTTTTAACTTGTGAAATTTGCGTGAGACGTAGGTCCTGTTTAGTTACTAAAAATGAGTAGAGTGAAATAGATTGAAAAAAAATCAAAACAAGAATTAAATCATTCTTTCCCTCATAGTGAGTATGATAAAACTTATTAATATTTACTTCAATTGTGGGAATCATCATATACTCCAAAATATCATGGATCATAATTTATAACCTCATTAACTAAATTACTTTTCTCCTTTATTAATATGTCAGCCTATCCCTTTTAATTATCTTATTTTTACCCTCATTTTTTCAATTCATTCTATTTTTTTCTAATAGCAAAACAGGATTTTAGAGTGATACAAAAGAATGAGATTAACTTTTACATGGGGGGAATTATTTCTTCTCTCCCTAAATAGTTTTCTAAATATAATGATTGTGTCATTTAGTGCAGTATGAAAATGCCTTAAAAGGAATGTGTCTAAAGAGCCATCTGATAAGAATATTTTGTTTAAATATTGTGAAGGATTAGGAATATCATAGACAGTTTGCATCAGGTCCAGCGGGTTGATATAGCTTGTCTTCCATTGCTTTGTTGGTTATATTCTTGGTTTAGGTTGTGCTGATAGGGTTTTTTTCCTTTCTGGTTTTATTATAATTTTTTTTTTTTTTAGTACAAGGCCTTGGCACAACCATGCAAAAGAGACAAATATTAGGTCATGTCTAAGCCAATAAGATTTTTATAGTAAGGCAGGGATCAAGAATCTTGATGTCGAAGTTATCTCATGGCAATGTAGGTCTACACATTTGTCAGCTTTTACTACAAACATGGTCAAAAGTAATCAATTAATCCTTGATGATAAGATCTCTGATTTTTCTGATAATTTTCAAAAAGTGAGAGTCTTTTAAAGTAGTTATACTTGATAAGTGATGAAACTTTCATTGAATTAGAGTAGACATTAACTTTAAAGAGTCTAGAGTTATAATAAAAATTAAGACATTCCAAAATTCCTATAAACTTAGCTATTGTGCTAAGGTAATAGCTAAAATATTTAAAAAATCTCTTAATCTAATTACCTCTCTCATCCTTGATGATACATCCATAGGCGGAGGCATCGTTGATATTAACAAAATCATCAATAATGAGTTTAACCCATCTAGGTGCTGGGCCTGGGGGGCTCAATTTAGCTGCATGCCTTTTGGAGAACTTAATATAAGAATATCCATGTAAGTGCAAGAGGTCGAAACAAAGAAAGTCAGCTTTTATCATAGTAATTGATCCTCTCACAACAAAGCAACTACTGAAGAAATTGAGGCCAATCTTCCTCTTCCTAAGGCCCCAGAAACTACAAAATCACTGCCCGATCACCCTAGTGATGATAAAAGGGACGAAAGAGGAAGGCAAGGCTGTTAAGGGAGAAGCAAATCATATATATAAAGAGTAGGCATCAAATGCATATATAATATCACTTTTACTCAAATGATTGATTTTTGGACTGGGCTGTTGATATAGTTTTAATATTTTGGATGCTACTAGTAAGCATGTAATATGTTTTTGATGATTAATAAAGCTGTCTCGTTTTTTTTTTATCAAGAAAAAACGTTCACCTGTCAAATTTGGACTGCTTTACAAGGAGTTTGTATTTCAAGTGCTTCATGACACTCTTTAGGCCCAAATTAGAAGTGCTTCATTGGATTTGGCAATGTTGGCTATGACACACCCAAAAGATTGGTGAAGTGATTGCTTTCCGGCAATCCCAAATTCATGGGCTCGAGCATCATCTTTGCAGTATACATCGATTGTTAATCTATTTCATTATTGTAACCCATAAATTGCTTTGATTAAAGTTTGAACTTTTTTGCCCTTGGTTAAAAACTAATTTTTCTCGGTATATGCTAAGTTAACCGGTGATATGTGTTCAAATCAGGACATGTAACTATATTATATACTCGTTAAGAAAGTTTTACCAATATTGAGTTCTTAGTTCAATTTATATTAGTTGGAGTTCAATTTAAGATTTTTGTATTATGGTTTGATACTCTTAATTGATTTGCTATGTTTTTTTTTTTAACCAACCATCTACAGGTCTTGTTAAAATCTAAACTACTTAATCTCTCTTTAGTTTATATAAACATGTCTTTATCATATGTATGTATTAAAGGGGCTAATTTTAGTTGGTGGAGCTCAATTCAGACTAATCCAAATAAGTTCAAATATGTAGCTATAAATCATACCCGAAATTCAATATTTAATTGCTTAAATATCCTATATGGCCTAAAAAAATCCTATAAATGTAAAAATTTTATTATTAAATGATTTTTTTATCCTTCAACTCTAAGGAGCATTTAATAATAAACTTATTTATGATGTATTTTTTCTTAACATTTAAACTTATGGGACATAAAAATTTAGAATACCAAATAGTTTTAAATAATAGTTGAGAGATTAATTTAAAATACATTTTAATATTATTATAATAAGCCAACATTTTAAATTGCCCCTCTTTAGGTTTTTTTTTTTTTTCTGCAGAATTCGTCACCAAAAACCAAGTACTCCAACCTCATAAAACGACATCGTAAAACCTACGCCGCATATCCAAGACAGATTCCAAGGTGAGGGAAGATGGCAGTCTCCTAGAGGGCTGGCTGCACCGCGTTTGATTTCGTTGATCCTCCTTTCTGCAAATTTGGTTTCCTTGCAATACTCCGCTTTTCCTCCGCGACAACCCTCAGGTCCTCGTCTTCTGCTGGAGTCTCCGTTCTCCAAAAAAGAAAAAAAGCCGAATCAGAAGGTTCATTATTCTTCTTCGTTTTCTTTTATCTTTTCAACCGATGAAAACGTGCTATTCTGCTTCGTCCTTTGGTTGTTATGCGATTTTTGAAGCCTTTTTTATGTCTTTGTGAGCTGGTTTTCTGTTTTATTTCCATTTTTAATTTTAATTTTAATTTCCCTTTGTGTATTCGTTTCTTAGTCTTGTCCTTAATGAGTGAGGTTATGCACTGCTGCAAACTTATGTATTGTTTCATTCTTTTACCATTCTGGGCGATGATTTTAGCGTTTGGTTGTCAGTTATTCAATATGATCGTGTATTTGTGCTTGTGTTTTTAGGTAACTTAAAATGGCTAAACGTAGCCGTGGTCAGAGAGAAAGAGACGCTGTCCGTGACCGGCGGGGCTTTTTGCCTGAAGGCCCTTTTCTTCGTGAGCCTCCGATGCAGCGCCCGCGTTTGCATCCTCATCCAGCTATTCTGGAAGAAGAACTTGAAATGCAGCACGCAGAAATCCAGAGGTTGATAGCTGATAATCGGAGGCTGGTTGAAGATCGAATGGCATTGCAGCGGGATCTTGCAGCTGCAAAGGAGGAGCTTCATCGGATGAATCTTGCCATTGTTGACCTTCGTTCAGAACAAGAGCTGCGTTCGAGGGAGTTTATTGAGAAGGGACTGGAGTTGGAATCTGAGCTTCGTGCAACTGAGCCCTTGAAGAAGGAGACTGCACAATTACGTGCTGAAGCTCAGAAACTTAATAATCTTAAACAAGAGCTTTCAGGGAAAGTTCAGACAATCACCCAAGATCTTGCAAGGTTTCAAGCTGATAATCAACAAATTCCTATACTGAGGGCAGAGATTGAAGGCCTGCACCAAGAGCTTATGCGTACTAGGTACGTGGTCTAATTGCTAAGGGAGTTTTGGTTTTAGTTTTTTGCAATTTCCAGTTTTGCAAAACTGCTTTAAAATGATCTCTTTTTTTTTTCAAATTTCCTAGAGCCATGGTTGACTATGAAAAGAAAGCAAACACGGAGTTGATGGAACAGAGACAAGCAATGGAGAAAAATATGGTTTCCATGTCCCGGGATGTGGAGAAATTACGGGCTGAGCTTACTGTTGCTGAGGGTAGACACTGGAATGCAGGTATGATATGTTTATTGTTAATGTTCATCGTCTGCAGAACTTTGATAGTCCATGTGAGATATGTCTCTCTAGTTGGTTAACTTTTTAGCAAAACTGGTTATCAGAATATTGTTAAGTTGAAATTTGGACTTAACAAAATGTGCTGAATATTGTTAACTCATTCAATTTGAAGACATGAAAGGAGGCATATATCCAGCAAGATCGAAACCTTGAATAACATGCTGAATATTAAAATAATTTTTATCAGATGAGACTTCTAGTGTAACTGCCTATCATTGCTCTATCGTACATCATGGGCTTTTTCTTGTCTTGCTTCATCATTTATCAAGGTGGGTCTTATGGCACAAAATATGGTGGCTTGGATTTACCGGTTCCATATGGAGACGGATATGGTGCTCATAGGGTATGTTCTGCCCTTCGATTGAAATTTAGATTTTCTCCTCAAATTTCCTGGGTTTCATTTACATTTCATGTGCTGCTGTGTAGGGTGGTATTGAGAAAAATCCTCTGTATGGACGAATCCCTAATTCAGGGGGAGGACGTGAGAAGCCTCACACATCTCGCCGTTGAGTAATTGCTGTTGGAATGAATAAAGGCACTTCCTTTGTTAACGGGAATTTCTGATTCTGAGATGATACTTGAAGTTGCTTTTTGTCTGCTTGCAGCATCAATGGTCAATTATCTGGATTAATTGTTAGTCCTGAACGACATATATAAGGTTCTAGATTCTTAGTGTTGCTTTACTTTTATCGTAGGCGCTCTGTTGCTGCAATACTTCTTAGTTTAATACTATGATGCAAATCTGACTATGTTTCATCAATTGATAGTTATCCTTCTTCTTACTATTCTTATAATTTGTTTTTGTCTGATTATGAATTCAAGTCTTTCTTCTCTGTAAAGTCATCTTTTCTGTTGGTTGAAGTGGAAACTGGAAGGCCTTGTTGAGGTTTTTTAACTCCCATGTGCCGAATCATGTGGGCTGAAGTTTATTGTACTACAAGTATCTTGTTCTCAAACTTTATAAGGCTATGTAGTTTGTGTCCTTGACATCAAAGTTCCTGCTTGAAAAACCTAGCCATGCATTTTAATGAGTTATGCTGTTTAATACATTCCATGTTAAGGATTATGAACGAGTGATGCTGACTATAGTCTAGCCTTTGCTGCGTGGAAAGAAGTTATCACTATCCAGAAGTCTTTGGATGATTCATTTAAGTTTATGTATGCTTGCTGACTTAGTAATGTAAGCATCGTGTTTTGCCAGGAAGCAGAGTGTATTTTCCTTTAGGTTAGATTTGATAGTTACATACATATGCATGTAACTATTCCAAAACGAGATTAACCAAACATGTGAATGTTGTTGGTGGTGGCGCGAAGCTTTCATTTGGCAATAGTCAGCGTAATCATGCAACTAAGAAGGGAGGCAACCTTCCTACAAGTTATTGAGAAATGGGATTATTGATTTGTAAATCACTTTTATTACCAAAAATTTCCTGGCTGTGCAAATGAGATGTCCTTTTCTCAGAGATAAAGGTGCTGGCTTCCTGATGAGGAGTTATCATTTCTGGGACTTTCTTGGATTCTTCTCCTGGGGCAGATGTTCGTGTGATTGTGATCCTGGAAGTGTTTTGGTTGAAATTTATAGGCATCTTTTGCTCCCTATGTTATTTGCTGATGAGATCTGGAAGCTGTCTTTATTTTATCTGAATAATAGATTGTGTCACAGCTCTCCTGAATGGGTAATAAGAGAAAATAGTGACAAAATTACACATATCTAACGCTAACCTGGCTCTCGAAAGTCAGAGAGAGATCAGAGAAGTAAAATAAATCGCATAAGCTAGGAATCTCCTAACTTTTGAGACGTATGGTTCTCTCCATGACCAAAATAATCGCTTCCTTTGTTGCCTCCTGCTACACACAGCTCTAGAAAACACCTTACTAGGCCCTGCCATCCTAGCAGCCTTGTCAGCTACCAACTCAGCATTACCAGCTGAGTAGCCAGCATTAATTGCTGCGCCTTTAGTAACTTCTTCCTAGTATACTTTTGGCCCCATTTCCTATCAATGCTATTGTTGGGCCTCCTCCTTGAGTAGACTTGGCCAATAGATGTACCAGGTCCATCATGTGCTAAGTCGCTTGTAGTGCTTGTAACTGCTGTCTTTTGCTGGTATGAAAAGAGGGTAATTTAAGTACATGCCCTTTTTCTTGAAGTGGTGTTTATCTGTATTGCTTTGAAACAATGCCCAGCTGGCCTTGAGTCTTTCAGTTACTTTTGAGTGTTTCTGGTAGCCTGTTATGTTGATTTATTGTTGGAGGGTTGCCAGAAGTATGATGCACTTGAATGGAGCTGTTACAGATATCGAAGTATTATGGGCCATTGTTTGGTTCACATTTGAAAACTGGTTATTTACTTAGATCTTAGCTGTTGCAAATTGTTAAATGGCATATTGAGATCAGACTTTTGCTTGGTGAGCTAATTTATTGAAGCTGGTATGTTTTAACTGCTGAGATGATAGTTTTAGAGATTCTGCAAGTTGTCTTACTCCAAACTGTTTGTTCCAAGTGGACTACATTGTTTGATCTGACAGTGGAGGTAGGATGGGATGTTGTTGACGGTAGACATACGGAATTGAGGGGCATGTTATCAATTTGATGCCCATTTTGATCTTGGAGGGAAACAACTATTAGTGGTGTTGCATCTCATATATCATTGTAAAATCATATCAACATCTTCGAAATCTCAGTTGTCAAGATGCTCTATAATATGCAAGTTTCCCCTATGGTGCTTGTATTGTCATGAAATATCAGAAGAAAGGATTGCGGAATTATCTGAAGGCTTGCTGCTATCTGAAGCTCATAGGCAAGTATTCTGCTTCTCTTTATTGGTCTGAATGATGTAAGAAATATGGAGCTGTGCTTTGCGTGACCATAGCTGAATATTATCATTTAAGGCTCAGCACGCTGCATTTAAAATTTAATTGTTGCTCATTTAAATTGGGTTATAGCAATCTATCACCTTGGCATTTGTTTCAAGTATGTCCTATAGCCCAAAAATTTAGTCTAGAAGAAATGTAAGGAACTTTAAATCCTAGTTTAACTGGATCAGTATTATATTTTATTTCATTGTTTAAATTATGTGATACAAAGCAGTGACTTTTTGCCCCTTCATTTCTTGCCATGAGATTGCCTTACTGTTTATGATATTGGGAAGAAGATTGTAGGGATAGTAGCCTAGCTACTTCACTAGCAAGAATGACATGAGATCTAATTGGGTTGTTAGTCAATTTTCCATTGGTTCTACCTCCCCAGTTTTCTGGGGTTTTTAGACAAGCTGCTTTCTGAAATAAGATGTTGAACTTAATCTTTGGTATTTTTACTGATTCTCCTTCCAGAAGTGGAGAAGACAAATTTTGGATTATATGGTATTAGTGGAGAGCTCTGTTAGTCCACATAATGGTCCTCCTGTTTGCATTATGCTATTGTTCCCCTCCTCAATCGCATATCCTGTTTTTGAATGGAAAGCCAGAGAAGTAATTGGATGGTATCAATGGCTGTGGAGAGTGTGAAAGAGGTCCTATGGTATTATGGCTTTATTGCTCACTTGGAGCTAGCTGAAAAGATGTAGGATGATAAATCTTCCTCACAAGTTGTTCTTATAGGCCAGTAGAAATTAGCTTTCTGATGTTAGCAAGAGGTCTGGATCATAGTTTGTGTAGGTGACAGTCCATGGTGAACTATGAAATCATTTAACATGGTTTGTTGTTTCTGGATTGTGACCTCCTAGTTTCCTTGGAGCATTGGTAGCTAAAGCCTGAAACAATGTGCTTTCTTTTATTATTCTTCTAGAGTAAAGGACTGAACTTTTGTTTCCTGTAAAGTCCACGCTGGTTGTTACTATTTTTCTCAGATTTGCATTTGGCAGCATTTAGACTTCGATAAAGGACATGAACCTAGGACAGGAAATGCTATTGGTCAAAATGCACTCTTATTAATTTTGCTGACTTGAACATAGAATGATTTAGGTGGTTTGGATATGTGCAAAGAAAGCCATTTGAGGTACCAATGAGGAAAGTTGAATAGATAGTTTTTAGCCCTATGAAGAGATGTAAAATGAGACCAAAAAGAACACTTAAGGAAGTTATTAAATATGATCTCTTCATGAATGATATTATTATCGTATGATTCAGGTGGCTGACTTTACTTAGTGGTGATAAGGCTTGTTTCTTAGGAAGAACTTTTCTTTTAAAGGGTTTTGAGTATTGACATCAACAGTCAGTTTCCCTGGTAAAAGCAAAGGTTAATGTTATTGATGATGACCTTAATCTGGTTCCCACCTAGACCAGAAAATATGGATGTATCTCTTTATCAAGTCCTGAGGAGATTAACCACATTTGAATCTCCAGAAGTTACTGGGATACTCAGTAATGTATGTGATGAAAGCTAGGGATTTGGAAATTGCTGAAGATATTGATGAAACTGATTATGGACTTCGCCTCACTGCCTAAGATTACATGGTATCAAAGAAAATAGGAGTTTTCTTGTAGTTTGCTTGTATAGTGCTCAACTTCTGATCATTATAACACAAGGCAATTTCACATCATTTAACTGGCCCCGGTGTATTGGTTCATTTTGTATTTTAGATCCTGCTGTTATTATGTTATATAACAAAGTGAATTATGCTCTTTCTCTTGAGCTTACATTACTTGTTAGCTATTATGAATCTTTTCTCAGAATTTTGTCTGTATATTTAAGCCACTTGCTATTTATTTTAATCTGATGTTAAGTTTATTATGGATGCAGATGGGAGACTGGTGAACCTGTCCACGACTGGATGGTTTGAACAAACCTTCTATGGGGTTTCAATTGGCTTTGATTGTTTCAGGGAGAAGCCTACTCCAGGCTGAACCCTTTAGTCATCGATGCAGGATGAAGCATGAATTATATTTTAGTATTCCAAAGAATACTTTAATATTGATTCATGCGATAAGCCCTTGAACAGAAACAGGTGACGTAGCTTAACATACATGGCTCAACGCACAGTTAATGCGGCCATAAAATGTCGGGAAGTTGCGCCAACATGTCACAATAGAGCACATAAACAGTATGATATTGTATCTACTTCGAATAGTTTAGTGTCTATTGCGACTTGTTTAGTGCAGTTGGATCAGTTGCTTCCCTTTAGGCATGTTACCCGTTTCCGTTTATGCTTCTGTTAACGGGCTTAATGCGAGAATATGATTAACAACAAAATGTTGCTTAAAAGATTGAAATTAGATGTTTAATCTATGGGTGGTCAGATTGAGGTAAAGTATGTCTTTTACACTTCGTTTGGAATGAGAAGAAAATCCGAAGGATAAAAAAATTAGGGGAGAAGACTAGAGATAAAAAAAATAATCTCCCACCTTTTTGCTCCTAATTTTCCCTAAAGAGGGGCGAAACTAAAAAAACTTTGTCTTTTACTTTTCTCTCCCCGTTTTCTTTATATTCCAAATGGAGGGTTGAAGACCAATTTGTCAATTTCACGAGGAAATAGTTTGCCTCCAAAACTGAAGCATAAAAAATATCCTCCTGTTGAGTGTTGATACATTTAGAGTTATTGACATGAAGTTATGGGGGACTGGCATTACTTTATTGTTGTTAAATACAGTCAATTATTTGTTTTTGAGGTAATTATAGAAACCCCAGTTCAATGGAAGACCTGGATATAGAAACCCTATATCTTGTATTCTGAACTTTCATGCCCGTGGCCAATTTTATGTTAAAATTAGAATTTAGGATAGAACAGGAACTTCGATATTCCACTGTCCAATGACACTGTGAATAATATGATATGAAGTGCTCGAGTTTCAAGAAGTCTGAGTTCTTTAATACCGGACCATATTGGGAATGTGCCCTTGTGGAAGTGGAATCAATCAAAATGTAAATTGGAAGGTTGATAGTGGAAGTATGAATTACTCAGATTTGGAGCTGGTTTACTCGAAAATGGAATTGCGGTTTGCGCCTTTCCATTACCTTTTCATTTTTCCGTGCCTGCCGTGGAACTAGTATAGAAATAAAAGCATGACAAGCAAAACGAATTATTTTTGCATTGATCTGTGTATCTGCTGCTTTTAGATTAATTGTGTTTAAATTTAATATTGTACTTGCTAGTTGCTGTATATATATATATATATATTTTTTTGCAGTTTCATGTATCACATAATTATCAAGTTATACTGCTGTAGGATGTGAAAATCAGGCGAAAAGGAACTCTTTTTCATCTCAGACCGAGTTTGCTATAAAAAGAACTCAAATAAAAGTGCAGATTTTCCTGTGGAATAAATTAAAGTTTGTTTTTTTTTTTAATAAATTTGTGGAGATATCTTCTTCCAGCTCAATCTCTTGCATGAGGAGTGGGGATCATTGTTATGAAAATCAGACCAGTTAGTAAACTGGTTAAGCTATTAATTCACGGTTTAAGGATTAATAATCGAACTGTGGTTAAACTGTGATTGGATTGATTGTTAAATTACAATTTTTTAATTAATATATCTTTAAAATATCATATACAAAATGAAAAAATGCCGATGACTATAAGTATTGTTAAAGTTTTTACAACTGAAATGATTTTTTTCATAATATTTTTTTTATTTCAAGTCATTTATATTAATTTAAGATTTATTTTCCACCTGAAATTTAAGATTTATTTAATCTTTTCAATTGAAATGATTAAATACAATATTACCCCACCAAAAATTTCTCCCCATTATCCGCACGCACTAATTCACCTTTCATTAATTATGTTCATATTTTGTTGAGTTATTAACTTTAGATGCATTCGGAATTTCGAAATTGAAATGATAGCACCTATTAGATTATTTATTAGGCTCTTCTCCATCTTCGCGTGTTCTGCGCCTCTAAACAAAAAGTCTCCCTCCCAAGTCTCCTCAATCTTCGTTATATGGTCAAAGGATTAGGTTGAAAGTTTGAAAACCCTAATCCATTCTCCCTGTATTTTTTGGCCGTCATAGCCTCTCAAGATTCCGCCTCCTCTCACTCTCTTTCCAGTTGCACATATGAAGGCTTGTGGCTTATTCTCTCCTTTTAACCCATGTATCTGCTAGAATCGTTATTCTTTTTCCTCTTCGCTTGTCTTTTTGGCATTTGTCTATGCTGATTGTTTCATTGCAGATATCTCTCGCTGCCTTTGCCTCTTCCTCTCATCTTAATTTTTCCCTCTTTTCCCTCATCTTTTTTGTTCTTTTTTTTTTTTTAAACAAACCAACAGAACCGTTCAAATCGCTGGTTCTTATTTCAGCACCGGCTCAAGCGGTTTGTCGCTTGTTCTTATATTCTTCGGTTTTTTTTTTCTTTATACCGGACACTTAGCCGGTTTCTGATTGGACCAGCGGTTTGGTCCAGTTTTGATAATAGTGCTGGGGATTACTTGGGTGCCCGGGGGCTCGGTATTTAATTGCTAGTGTTCCATTTGTTTAAAAAATATACTATTAGCTGGTCAAAAAATAAAATAAGTATTATTAACTTTACATTTTAGGTGCATACTAAAATTTAAAATATATATTTTACAACCTAATATCTAAATATTATTGATTATGAAAATATTATTAATTTATAATAATGATTTATTACTATATTAAGTTCTCAATAGTATTGCATTGCAGTATCAATATTACTGTATGAAAAAATAGATATGAATAATGACGATGAGTGAGAAAGTTATTTTTCTATATTTTGTAAATAACTTTTTTGGCCAATTTTTTTTTTGTAATTAACTTCACTAGTAACCTCAGAAGAACAAAAAAAACTAATTTTACAAGTTGACATTGTCTGATCAAAAACCATTTTTGTTTAGGGAGCTCAGATGTCAAATTCAATTGTTCAAAATCCAAGGCCAAGCCCAATCATTATTACATAGGATTAGTCAAATAATTTCATTCATATTTATAGGAATAAAATCTTAATGATTTTGAATAATTGATTGCATCACATCTATCAATTTGATTGAATTTTGTGTTGTGAGTTCAATCTCATTGATGTGTCCTTCTTCAATTGTAATTGTCATGTCTATGTTGAAGCTGATGATACACTTAGCAAAAGCAAAGTCAATTAAGAAGAATTTGAAGGGCAAAAATAGTTCCATTGAAGATACAAAATATTAAGGAAATAAGTATTTATGAGAAAGCACAGAACTATTGAAAGTTAGATACTTAACCCAACTATGGATCTAAAATAATATTCGTAAGTCAATCTAGGATTTGGCCATGTTGATAGCGAGGACAAACACACGACTCCTATCACGAAATGGAGTTACTACAAGCAGCCTCACTTGTATAATATTGAGATGGAAAGTCAATACATATGAAATAGTTTGCGATTTCAATATTTAAATCTCTTAAATGAGCTCATGAATGTAATTAGAGATTTAGTATTAGATCTAGGTTTCCTTCCTTTACGCCAAAGGCCCAATATTAAAGTGTATTATGAGTCAGAAATACAAATAAAATTGTTTGATTTATAGTATCAGTGTGGCATGAGAAACAAATACAAATAGCATATGAAGTTTAATAAAAATAAATATTTGTGCTTTCCATATGGTTTCCATTTTTTATACTACTTTTGATAAATTGCAATTTACTCCCTCCGTCTCAAATTATAAGACACTTTTGAGGGAGATTTGCTGTCTCAAAATATAAGACACTTTGAGAAAATTAAAATTTTATTAAATATACTAATTCTAATATTACCCTTTCTCTCTCTATTTAATACTAATTTGATGTGGATTTAAGGTTATTAAATCAAAGGTATTTTTGAAAGCTTACATTCTTTTTTTGAAAAAAATAAAATTGTTAAGTATATTTAATAAGGATTATTGGTTTATGAAATTTTATCTAAAAATATCTTATAATTTGGGACGGAGGGAGTACTTTTAGCAATTGGGAGCTACATAAACTTGAAATGTCTTAACCTATTATATAATTCCCATGTACAACTGCCAAATGGGTTAAGGAATATGAAAAAAGCACTTGTTGCCAAATGAGATCTGTCACCCAAAATTTTCTAGAATTGTATGCAATTTATCATCTCCCATGTTGTATAGTTGTAACAATCTATGTGAAGAAAATGTGCTATTAGATGAGCCCAAAAACCTGCAACACATTCAAGATATAAAGCTTTATATCCATGAGGAAACTTCTTTTCAAAAGATAAGGACGTCCAATAAATTGTAGAGATGTGTGAGTTATCTATTAAGTTGTCATGCTTCTCATACAATCTCATACCAGACAATGGACTCCTTTATGCTGCAAATAGACCATTTTGAGTTCATAGATATATCTTTGGAAGACGCAACATGGGAGGGTTCTGAAAGTCGATAATATTTTGAACATCTCAATTTCTCAGGAAATATTATCTAATTCCCCTTCATAAACTCACCATACGTGGGTGGAAAATAGTTGATTTGGATTGCCTAAAGTATGCTTCATACCTTGAATATTTGAGTTATCAAAGTGTGAATTTCTTTTGGAAGTTCCATGATGATTTTGGTGTTGTTAGTGATGGGAGATGAAAAGTTTTGTTGCTAGACTCACTATTGTTTGATTGGTTCCACTAAAACAATTGATAAAAATTTTATATCTTGTGTTGATATTTATTAAATTATATTATGTTAAATTTATAAGGAATCCAAACATATATAAATTTAAAAAAAAAATGCAATTAAATTTAAAAATAAAAATCAAAAAACACGACAAATCAATTGTTAAATAATTATAAATTATGAAGACCACTTGTAATATTTAAAAAAATTATATTTTTAATATAAATAATGAAATTTTTAAATCTCAACCACAATTTATACTCCACTTGTGACACTATTTATATTTATTTTTGATACTATTTTGATACCACAATTCGAACAATCCTATTTGTATTTGTGGCTGGTAATAGGTTTCAATATTAGGCCTCCATATAATTTTCTTCTTTGATACCACTCTAATACCAACTCTAACAAATTACAAAATATACTTTTAGCAATTGTAAGCTACGCAAGCTTGGAATATCTGAACCTATCATATTTCATCATTAAAAGGCATTCAATTTGTCAAATATGAGGTATTTAAGCTCCCAAATTCAATTGAATTACTAGACTTGTCATTTGATGTATCTTTTAATATGCTTTCATACAATCTACTTTTAGTAATTGGGAGCTACGTAAGCTTAGAGTATTTGAAGTTATTATATAGTTCCCATCAACATGGTCAAATTGGTATTACTAAAACAATTGAGAGTATCGCATGAATTCCATTACAATTCCCTTGATTGAAGAGGATTAGCGTGAGAGGTTGTTGAATTTGAAAAAGCTCCCACTTCATTCTCAGAGTTCATCATTTAAACTAATCTCCTTTAGATTTGAGCATGACTGGTTGGATTGCCTATGGTGAGAAGTTGAAGACACTCAAAACCTTTATCCTTTCAATTTTCAAAGCACATTAAATTCTTTTTCTCATGTCACTTTTATTTCCTTTTATACATAAGCAACATTAAAGAAAATTCATTGTTGTTGCATCTACTACTCATATGATTGCTTCCTTGCTATGTTATGATTGTGCTACTCTGTATAATTTTCTTCATTGCTATGTTGTTGAGGAAATGATGTTGGTTTGAAGACGAATTTGAAATCTATCTTGTAGCAACAAGAGCATATGCATCTCTTGGAATAAAGTCTAACTCATTTGTAGTGCAAAATGGCAAAGGGTAACTTCTCTTAATAATTTGCTTGTGCTTCCTATTTGTAACTAAAAGAAACTTTTTTAGGATTAAAATGTCTCCCTTCACATGCATTATCAATACAATTTATCAACACAGCCCTCCTTATAACAAGTATGTTCAGGATCTTATACATTTACACTCTTACTTGCCTTGTTGCCTATGCCCAGTGGCTCAACTCTTTGTTAGTATATGGGCTCATGACCCGTATCTTGAACTCCAATCACTCAAGTAGTATAAATATATAACCTTGAAAAACCATAATATTTAACACAAATTGATTGAGATACTGGCCCGTAGCATAAAATTAAAACAGGCGATTGAAGATTGACAGCTATTTTACAATTTCTAGCAACACATCCAATGCTGCTCATACAAGAAGGATATAACCTTCCCATTTGCTTCAAGACAAGCAACAATTTTGAAGTCAGACCATCAAATAATTTGAAACTTTTAATATTGATGTAATTTAAACCATATTCCAAAAGTTAGACTTGAAGGCACAAGGCATGGCAATTTAAAATGACTCTTGTTATCATATCAAATAATTTTCCAATATGCTCTCTTATATAAGGTGTTGTTTTCACATTATAGAATTTTAAATGTCAACTATAAATTTGAACCCAAACAAGGTATTGGTGGGCATGCAAATTAGATATGGTGGTTTATTGGCTTCTATGAAATTAGAGTAATGAAATATTATGATAACATCTTGAACCATAGAAAACCAACTTGTTAACTGTCAACTTACTATAATCCAATGTAATTTCTCTCTTCTAATTTTGTTTTCATGTAGCTTATTTTAAATATTTAAGTATACTTCTTTTAGTTTTCAGGTGGCAAGATATATGTATTTGCTTTTAATATAAGATTATGTGTTATAATATATTTTTAGCTGCTTTATTTTTTTAAAATCAACTTCACTTTTCTCATCGAATTTGACATAGTAAAAGGTTAAGCTTTTTTTCAATTATTGAGAAAATCAGAAAATGAATTAGAATTAAAAATAAAAAAATTGAAAATATATTTGATAAATTCAAAAGTTTAAAAAATCCTCATAAAAATCTTATTCGATATGAAAGAATTTTAAAGGGAGAATAATTGATAAAAGGGAAAATGATAAAAAAAAACTCCTAAAATACACAAATGATAAATAAGTATTATGAAATGTGATAATTGTAGTGTAGTCCATATGGATTAATTTGATGTTTTGATTTTTTTTTGAAATGAGATATTTGTCTCAATTTAAAATTTAGAATGAAAAATAATGATTAAAAAATATGCAAAAAAAAAGACTACTTTATTTGAGTTATTGATTCCAATGGAATAGGAAATGACAAATTTACTTTTGTAACTTTTTTATCAATCAAGTGCAACTACTAAAAATCGGTTACTACATACAATTGGAGAATGAGTAGTTTGTTTGAGAATTGACTACAACTGAATAGTAAGTGACAAGTGCCTTTTTGAATTTTTTTTTTATCAATTAAGTTCTAAAGTTCATGTACTAAAATTAGTGACAACTTACTATTAACAAACAACTACTTTGTTTAAAGATGTAACTTCAGATAAATAACAATTGACAAGTTCTTTCACGCAAAAAATAATAAAATCTAACTAAAAAACATAAATGACTACTTCATTTGAGTTATTGACCAAAAAAAAAAATTAAAAGTGACAAGTTCCTTCCTTCCATTTTTATTCATTAATCAAGTAAAACTTTTAAAAAATCAATCACTAGTCATGATTGAGAAGTGACTATTTTATTTGAAGTTGAGATTATTAATGAATAGCAAATGACAAATGTCTTTTTGCAAATTTTAAATTGAAGGCAAACATGTTAAAGGAAAAAATAAAATCCTAGACAAGTTCTTTGAGACTGCATAATAATTATCATATTTTACTATACTTATTTGTCATTTATATATTTCAAGGTGTTTTTTGAGTAAGATTAATGTACTTAACTTTATATACTTAATATATTCATAGTCAATCAAATCATGACAATTGAATTTTAATGTGTTACTAAATGTCATAGCAGCGGTGGCGGTGGCGGCAATGACAATAATAGAGTAGTTGTGGTAGCAATAACAATAATAGAGTGGTGGTGGTGGTGGTGGATCCAATTCTCTTTGGCGACGAACAAGCATTCCACTCTATTGGATGCCATCCACCTTGTTAGCCTTGCGTCGTTGTTCTTAAGCAAGCAGTGAAAAAGGTTTGATCCCTATGACCTTTTGTACTCCCAATCTCTTCCCTAGGTGACTGTTCTTGCTTTATTTCAAATTTTTCATTTCTAATTGGCTTTGGATTAAGTTATCTAACTGTTGATTATTGCCTCTTTTGAATTTGGAAATATTTACCAATTGAGTTTTTTTTTAACTAGTTTTTGCTTGGATGGTGTGCAATTGGCTATTATTCTTCTTTTGCAATGTTGGGTTTGTTGTGTATTGACATTTTGATTATTAATCTTTATATATTATTATCAATTTTTGAAAATTTTCAAGGCATTTTGACAAGGTTTTAAGATTCGGACAGTTAGATTGTCAGCCCACTGTCTAGTTCAACCATTTAACGTGCATTAGTAGTTGGCTTGGGTCAAATTGGACAATTTTTAAAGACTCAGAATGGGTGGTTTTTTTTTTTTTGGTGTCAAAAGCTGGACAAAAATGGGCAAAAAAAAATTAAGGGATAAAATTGGCATTTTAAAAATAAAAAAAGGAAAAATGACAATAATTTTTTTTAAAATATATAAATGATAATCTCATTTCTCAAAATGTCATAATTTCCTTGAAGTTTCTAGAAACTTTTCCACCATTAATGAATTTATATAAATTACTAAATTATATTTATTGAAAATAAATGATTTACAATTTTTCTTCTTATATACGTAACTTTTTTCTTAAATTCGTAACAAAATAACAATAAATCATAACTTCACATATTAAATTCCTTATTTGTTATTACATTGTTACAAATATAAGAATGAAAGTTGTGAATATAAAAAAAAAATTATGAATCATTTATTTTTAACAAGAATAATTTAATAATTTATATAAATTTATTAATGATAAAAAAGTTTTTAAAAATTTTAAAAAATTGTGATATTTTGAGAATTAAATTATTATTTATATATTTTAAAGAAATTTTATTATATTTTTTTAAAAAAAAAAACTCTTCTATTCTTTTTTTTCTTTTTTGAGCCAAGGGAACGCTCTTCCAGTCACTCACACCCTGTCTTCTCTTCTCACTTCTCTCTGTGTCTCGCACGCCGGCACGCGTTCTCGCCTTCTCGGTTCAGTCTTCACCGTTCAGGCGTTCACCCTCACCCGGGCAGCTATAAGACGCTTCTTCATTCTCCGTATTCACTTCACTTTCTTCATTTCGGTTCAGTCTTCACGTTCAGGCGTTCTCGGTTGACGATCGCGCAGGCGTGCGGCTGTCGGAACGGTCAGACGGCATCGAGCTCGGCCTTCTTCTTCATTCTTCATCTTCTTCGTCGATTGCTCTCCCTTAGTTCCGGTGAGATTTTCTTTGTCCCTCATTTGTCTTACTGCCCAATTTAACCTAATCGTTTTGAATGGCATGGAACGAAGTATTGCTGAATGGATGAACTTGTTTTTTATTGTTAAGAGTTGTTTTTGCAAATAGGGGTTTTATTATTTTCAAGTGATTATCCCTGAATCCTGATGCACACGACAGTCTGGTACTCTGCTCTGTAATTCTGTATTGACATCACAAAATAGGAAGGCTATATTCTCTGTCTACTTTTGATTTATTAATTTACTTGTTTAGGTGTAGAAAATGTCATCATCTGATATATATATGTATGTATGTATGTATATTTTTTATTTAATTGGTTGGTTACTGGTCCAGGTTGAATCATGAGACCCTTGGCCCGCTGATATTTTCGGTTCACTGTCCAGTCCAGGTTTTAAAACATTGATTTGTGATGTATGATCTTGTAAATGACTTGGCTCGAGTTGTGTGAAAGTATCTGGAACAAAAATTAACAGGGTATTATATGAACTATGCATATTTCCTAGATTTCAGTGTGTACAGTACACGTCCGACTATGCTGATGTTGAATTTTGGGTCCCATTGTGTAATTGTCTACTCGTAACTTGATTGTGCTTCAGAGCTGTTGCTTTGATCTAAATTGAGTGTTGTTCTTCCAAGTAGCACATACTGAAATATACTCACCGACTGATGAACCTTAGAAATAGATCAAGCAGCTGTTGAGACTTTGTTATTTTACAAACCTGTAATTGTCATGTTGAGGATGTTATTGTTAGTCAAGCTGTATTTAATTGAGAAAAGTTGTTTGGCCATCTTATTAGCTCTTGATCAGTTTTTTAATTATTTACTTATAAGTAGGGATGCTTATGCTGCATTTAAATGCTGCTGGATGGTAATTTTATATTTTTAAATTTGAAAAATGACAAATAATTTTACTGTTTTCTTAAACTAGCTCCCTTTAATTTGTTTGGTTCTCATTCACCCTCAACTTCTGTCTTAAGAAGTCAGAATGAAAGTATTTACTTTTGATTTGTTTTGGGATGTCACTTCTTGATCTTGTTTGACAAGGACTAAGATTGAATGATGATGCCAAGTGCCATTTTAGTATCAACAAATTTCTGCATCAATGTAATCTGACCTCTCTAATACTTTTAGTCATCCTCCAAGCACCTTTTAGTTTCAAATTATACTAAGATCAGTCTTATAATTGTAATTTCACCAATAGACAATCCTATCATTTGTGGCGTAGGCATAGAATGCACAACCCTTGAACGAGGTCATTGTATAATTTGAAACTAGAGGGATTGCACGCACAAAGTTCCTCTAATGCATAGGGAAGAGGGAGATCAATGTAATTGGTTAACTTTTATCTTTGAGTTGTACTCAGATGAAAATGATTTTTGGGCATGAAATATGAAATGACTAGCAGCTCCTTTTTTGTTTGTCTTTGATTTACACTGTTTACTCTTGACATTGTATAATTCTTTGTTATGTGGATAGTTGTAGGTGATAAATTTGTGAGAGTTAAATGGAAGCCAAGTTTTTCCGTTTTCTCAAGATTGTGGGTGTTGGATACAAAGCCAGAGCCGAATCTCAAGGGCGTCTCTTGTATCTCAAATTGGGATACAGTCACGAGGTTGAGTTGACGGTACCGCCTGCAGTTCGAGTTTTCTGTTTCAAAAACAATGTGGTTTGCTGCACTGGAATAGACAAGCAAAGGGTGCACCAGTTTGCTGCTACTGTGCGTAGCTGTAAGCCACCTGAAGTCTACAAAGGCAAAGGTATATTGTACATTGATGAAGTTATCAAGAAGAAGCAGGGAAAGAAGTCTAAATGATTGCTTATGTGTTTCAAGGCAATACTGGCTTTGATGCACTATGGCTCAGCCTGCAAAAACCGGCTCCTGCGACTTAGGAAAACTAGCTTAGCTTGATTTGGAATTGAGAACTACTCTGGTTTTGCCATGTTTCAAGAGGCATTGATCATTGTCTAGAGATTTTTTTTTTCTTGGGTAAAGATTGTCTAGAGATTTTATTTAAACTAATAACTTCCATTTCTCTCTATATTGTTGGGCTTTGATCAATGACATGTCATTTTTCAGGGAGAAGCCCTGTTTTTGTGCTTAACTACTGCTACTAGGTGCACTTTGATGATTGATCAGTGGTTTATTTCAAGGATTTAGGCTTAGTTGTTTAATTTTTTGTTATCAAGTTTTCCAAATAAAATATAACATTCAGATAAAACTTTTAATTCTATCAATCAAGACAGAATTTTTTTTTCCCCACAGGGAAGTCTCCAACATTTTTTCGAAGGATAGGCTAACACCTGTGTATATTATAAGTGTAATTTGTTTCCCCTTACTCCTACTCAGTAAGTATAACTGAGTTTACTCATAAAAGTATCCTTTTTTAATTTGTTTTGGTGAATAACGCATGTGTATATTATACACATACAAGTGTCTGCGGCAGTGGGGCACGGAGAGTGTGTTCGTTCTTGTTCTTATAAAAAAAGAAGTGAAATTCTGATGGGTTCGTCTTCAGTGCTACACCATTTATGATTTACAAGGAAAAAAAAAAGGAAGAATTTTATTTAAGGACTTGGGTAGTAACATATCTTTTAGTGAGTGTGAAAAAATTTTAAAATTTCAATTTAGTTCTTAAGGATTAAATTGAAAATAAATTAAATGTAGAAAAGATTAAAATACTCTCAATTTAAATATTAAAAAAAAGAAACCACCAGCCATCATTGCCAGAGCACCACTGCCGGTGATTGGAGCCTCACTAGCTGGACCTCCGCCAGTGATTGGACCTCCATCGTCGAAGCTCAGGCCACCAGTTAGACCACTATCGGTGGTGGTTAAAAAATTATGAAGAATTAATTTTTTTAAAGATGGTCAAAGTGGGTGTAGAATTCAAGACTCCTTAGTTTACCAAAAAAATTTTGAACCACCAAACCACTCAACCCATTCAATTATATAATTCATAAAATTTTATATATATATATATATATATAATAAATCTTACTTTCAAACCACTTGATTATTACATTACTTATTAATACCTTAACAGGACTTATTAATTACTTAACTTTTTTTTATTAACCCTCTGACTTCTACAATAAAACTAAATTACTTGTTCATCGTATAACTTTACATGTTAGTTATTTAACTTTCCTTGTTAACCCTAGACTCTTGCAATAGAACTAAATTATTTGTTAATAGCGTAACTATACTTGTTAATACCTTTACAGGACTTGTCAATTATTTAATTCTCCTTGTTAAGTTCAAGACTCATACAACATAGCTATATTACTTGTTGATCACGTAACTGTAATTGTTAATACCTTAACAGAACTTATTAATTACTTGACTTTATTTGTCAAATCCATAACTCTTTCAACTAAACTGCATTACTTATTAATCATGTAACTTTGCTTATTAATTATGCAACAATACTTATTAATTGCATAGCTTCATTTGTTAATACCACAACAAGACTTGTTTAACTATTGTTTTGAAAAAGTAACTAAATTATTTGTTAATTGCATAACTTTATTTGTTAATTCATCAACAATATATATTAATTATCTATTGTCACTTGTTAACTGAATATATAATTTATATAAAAAATTGAGTTTGTCAAATAACAAAAGCGATGAAAGTCAAGTCTCCCTTATCAGTATTCGTCAAACTAGATATGCAATTATATAAGCATATATATATATATATATATATAGAGAGAGAGAGAGAGAGAGAGAGCAGTACCCTAAAAACAAATATAATATTAACAATAAAATTTAAAAAATGACAAGCTATATTAGGCTTTTAACAAGTATACTTCTTGTCATAATACTCAAGAGGTTTGAAAATAAGATTTATTATACAAATAATTTTGAGAGAGTTATGAAATTAACAAGTAAAGTTGCATAATTAACAAGTCAAGTTGCGTAATAAACAAATATTGTTGCCTAATTAACAAGTAAAGTTACATAATTAACAAGTAATGCAGTTCAGTTTAAAGAGTCATGGATTTGACAAGTAAATTCAAGTAATAAACAACTCTTATTAAGGTATTAACAACAACAGTTACGCGATTAACAAGTAATGTAGTTCTATTGTGAGAGTCACAGACTTAACAAGGAGAGTTAAGTAATTGACAAGTTCTATTAAGATATAAACAAGTATAGTTATATAATTAACAAGTAATTTAACTCTATTGCAGGAGTTGTGGGGTTGACAACGAAAGTTAAGTAATTAACAAGTTTTGTTAAGGTATTAATAAGTAAAGTTACACAATTAACAAGTAATGTAATAATCAAGTGATTTGAAAATAAGGTTTATTATATATATAATTTTGAGCATTATATGATTGAATGAGTTAAGTGGCTTGTGTTCTAAAACTTTTTAGTAAATCAAGAGATCTTAAGTTCTACACCCACTTTGGTCACCTTTGGAGAAATTAATTCTCTATAATTCTCCAACCATCGCTAACGGTGGTCCAACCGACGATCAAAGCTCCAATAACGGTAACTAGTGGTTGTTTTTTTAATATTTGAATTGAAGGTATTTTGATCTTTTTTACATTCAACTTATTTTCAATTTAGTCCTTAAGGACTAAAGTGAGGTTTTGAAATTTTTTGGAACCCACCAGAAAATATGTTGCCACCTAGATCCTTAAATGAAATTCTCCCAAAAAAATTAGACTGCAAATTTTTTTATTTTTTTTTTTACTTTATATTTATTAAAATAAAATTTTATAATAAATGTATTCATCGTATCAACATATATTTAATCTAGATCTTTTAATTTAATATTAAATTTTTTATAATTTTATATATTAACTATCTAAAAAGCCTTGAACGGATATGTTTGATATTAATTTTTATAAATGTTTATTTTGATAAATACAATATTAAAAAAAGATAATTTTCTAGTGGGTACTTTTTGAAAAATATTTTTAATAAAATTACAAATTAAAAATTTTAACTATGAATTATCTAAAGTAAATCCGGGTGGTCAATTTATAAAAAATTTTAGTGTAAGATTTATGTACTTAACCTTATATATTTTATATACTTATATTTAATCAAATTATGATAATAAAAATTAATATATTAATTAAATTAATAACAATAATTTATTATTTAATAAATAATTTATAAAAAATTAACATTTCTTGATTTAATTGGAAACAAACACATTAAGTTTATAAGGTTAATTATATAAATTTTTAATATTAAATTAGACTATCCAAGTTAATTATGTACAATCTAAATTGATGATGAAAAGATTTATTAAAAAATTTTAGCTTGCTAAAGTTGATCCAATTGATCCTTAACCCACAAGAGACAATCTATAAGTATCCTTATAAGCATTTTTTTAAACTTAAAGTCATATCTGAGTCCAACTATCATAAACTTTTTTTCTACCAAAATTTTTTTATAAATTTTTATTTTACTAAATATGAGTTAAAAGCTTTAAATTTAAACAGTTCATATTAAATTCAGATAGCCTAGATTTTTTTAAAATCATGAAACAGTGTGCAGATGCTCATCAGCATGCTAAGTACCAAAGATGAATCCAGATGGTGACATGGCCATTACTACTAGGATGGGCAAGCATGTGATCATGAATTTCGTGAGCCAATTATCAGAACTTAATAGTGAACATTCAGTAACCTCTCTTACAACTTGACAGTGAACATCTCGGTGAAAACCCTGAATCATTTACGAGGGTCGATTTCAGCAGCATCAAACGATGCTTAGTACAAGGAGGGATGACTAACATGTGTGAGATTGACACCTTTTGTTGAGAACCACAAGAAGACAAGCTTTGTGGAACCAGTCGTGTTCTGATATCGGAGACTGACTAATGATCTTCAGCCTTGCGAGGAGATTGACTATAATGGAGAGGCAAGGGTTAGGATTTATAAATTACTTCTAACTATCACATCACATAAATATGGATTCGTCATTGCCCCCTCTATTGAGATAGTCAACGGAGCTATTGAATTTGACTTTAATTTTTAGATTGACTTTAAACATAAATTGAGTTACCTGAATTCAAATTGTAAAAAGAAAATTAAAATTAAACTTATTATGCATTACACTGCAACATAATGTATTTACTTTGCAACATACTTTTTAGAATTAGTTTTTTGAAAAATGCAAAAAATGTTCAAAATGGAGACACACTAGAAACAGAGGGGGGCAACAAAGAAAGTATTTTCTTTATTAGAGCATCAACTTTTGAATATTTTAAAGGTGATTGGAGTTTTATTTCACCTAAATATGCCTTTCTTATCTCTTTTGCTTTTCTCTACACATTTTGAAAGTAAGATTTAAGATTGAAAGATGAGGATTTCGGACATAAGGCTATGAGCCCGAATACATTCGTCTAAATGAGACTAATAAGAGTTGTTTAAATATTCAGCACATAATTTAAAAGTTTCTACAAAGTTGTAAGCTTAGATCATCTATTTTGGACGAACCATGAACCTCCAAAATGTGATTTTGAATTGTGAGGTGTTGTAATAGTAATTATTTAAGTTAATGAAAACTAAATTGAACTAATGAAGTTTAATAAACCTAATGGTTTTGTTTAAATGCAATAGATTAAAATTTTAGGTAATTAAAGTGTTGATTAATGAAAGTTGGAAAAGCATTTATGATAATATTAACATGATTAATTATAGATTAATTATCTTGTATACCATTCAAGCTTTGGTATACCTTTTGAAGTACTTTTATTGTGGGTTAAACTGTTGACCTCTCAAAGTTTTGAAATAATCGAAGAAAACTTACTTATACATTTGTGTGTTAATTAGTAGTGTTAACATTATTTCATAAATTACTCTCTAGATATGTGATATAGGTTTTTGCAAGTATGGCATGACATATTTAAAAATTTATAAGTTGAGCATGATTTGTGGTATATTAAAAAGTTGTACATGTGTGTGAACATATGCAGTGGAGTGTTTAAAGTGGCATTATGTGATATGCAAAATAATGGGAAATATCTGTAAGTTGTTATTTATATGGAGAAAATTGTGACATGATAAAAATGATGATAAGTGAGTACCTAATGTTGATGTGAGAATTGCATGGAAATTATGATAATTTATATGCATATTATGATTTGTGCATTTGTACATAGCATTATCATGTGAGATGGGAGTTTGCATAGGAATAGGAATAGAAAATTTAAACCCATGTGGTATGACTACCATTCAGAGTTCAATGGCTTGCCTTAATTATATTCACATCGTCTCACTTATTCGACAAGAAACTGTTCCATGATTTATTAAGGGACTTGAACCTAATATAATGTCTACTTGTTTGACGAAGAAATTAGTTTAAGACAATAATACCCCATAGTGTGAAATTTAAAAAAAAACCATAAATCATAAGTGAGTCAATTAACCTTGATTGGGTAACTTTTCATGCATGTAAGGCTAGAAAAATTTCATCACATGAATGTACCCATTGTGTAATAGCCCATAATTTTATGCCGAAGGTATAATGAGGTTATAAAGAAGGTTTAAAAATTTAGAGGCAAAATTGCGCTTTAATCTATAAAAAATGAGTCCACTAATATAGTTAATGGACATTCAAACGATGAGAGCAATGAGTTTAGGAGCAACATTGCTCCTATATGAATAATTTAAAGACAAAATTATATCTTAACTCTTTTTTTAATAAGAATATATCTTGAGAGTTGCTTTACAATCTTTAAATAGATTAAATTAAATTTCTGGCTAAAAAAAAATAGATGATATAATGTGTGACCCTAAAGTAAACATATAAATTTTTGAATCATGATACTTTTAACACAACAATCAGTAGAGACATCCCAAGCTGGAACCTTCTTTCTGTTATATGGCTTTAAGTAGTGAAAATAGGAGGCAACACCTTTGATCTCTTCCCCTTCACTGGACACTCTGTATCGGGAAAGCGGGACCCGCTCCCACTCACATCCACCAAACCTTCCTGCGTTACCTTCAAAGGGTAACTCACCAGATGAACGCCTTCCATGTCCACAATTTCTTCGCCACTGTAGATTTCCCACATTCGATCTCCTATCGATCGCATTTTCCTTACGCATTCCAATCTCTCTGGCTCCATCAACCATTCCTCTGCGCACCTACTGTGCTCATACCACAGTGACATCCTGTATGCGTGAATCTCGCCGCGATTGATCACTTGGTTGCTGGAATCCGCATCTTGCCATTGGTAGCAACCTATGGCTATCTCAGTGTCTCTTTGCCCATCCATGGATCTCTGGTTCACGTTAGCCGACCCTATCAACAAGTACAGGTCGTCCACTGCAAATAATGGTCAAGAAAGTGATAAGATCTTATTACTTTTTCTGAACCTTTGAAATGGGTTCTTGTGTAGTAAATGAACTTCAGTCAATCACAAATTTCAGGTAATCCTGACAAGAACAAATATTTAGCATCTAATTGGTTAGCTGTTTTGAACTTGTCATTTTTGTTAGATATGCAAGTTTTAGGATTAATTCAAGAAAAGCGCGTGTTTGGTTTGGCTCTGAGCCTTCTGATGAATATTTTTCTCAAGCTCGTTCAAAGGCAAGATGAAGTTTTGATTAGTGTTTAATCCTCCATTGATTGGATTCCATGTCACCCTGAAGCCTGCATTGCCTATGTCTTGTTGTATCAAGTAGCATTGTTCCTTTCAGTGATAATAACTCGTTTAAAGTCTTCATTGTTCATCTACAAAAGGAGTTTCAAAGAAAACCTATTTTGTTCAACTTTATCCCATTAGTCTTTTAGTCAATATCTAAAGTCGGATTTATTCAGTGAAAACGGTCGTTTTCTTCAAATCTATGTGAAAGAAAGAATTTGCGGAATGAAAAGAAGTTGGTGATTTAAATATTAGGTTATCAGACATTCATACCTATCATGAGCTTGGAGTGGACATACACCATGAACCTTCTACTTTTTTGGGCATTCCAATATTGTGTTTCAGGGTGAGGAGAATGTGGCGGCAGGTACTCCCCTTCCCCTTTCTGTTCCCTATTTGCTAGGCAAAAGAAATTCAAGTAGTCTCTTGGGTGCCCTGCTTCCCCACTCTCTTGTATTGCTTCTCCAATCAACCTATACATCATTGCTACTGTTTCTCTGGTCCAATGCAGGATGTCCTGAACTGTTTCACTTTCAGGTAATCCTTCTGGCCACATTGGAATCACTACATACACTGCAAATCTCTTCTTCGCTTTAATCTTACTTGCCACCTTGAGTGCTATCTCAATGGGAATAATATTTCTGCATCCACTATTCTTGTTATTGTCCCACAAATCGCATCCCCCAGTGAAATACTGGTTTTCAATGTATATAAACCTATCAGCACGCCTGATTGCTTCAACATAAGCATCATGGATGCTCCTTTCTACAGTAAACTTTCTAAACAATTGGTAAGCAGAGATATGGTCAATTGATCTATATACTTGAACTTTCCAATTCCTCTCAATAGGAATGCTTGAACAATTTTGGGGCATGAGATTTGCTAAGGCACTTGCAGGGACTAAAAGGGAAGGATTACACTGCTTTCTCCATCTTTGCTCGAAATTTGTTAACACGTCCCAAGCAGCACCACCTATAACACAAGCATGAGCATCATGCCAAGGCTCTCTTGGCCCTCCTTTATTAAGGCTAGCTCCTGCAATATTTGTCTGATAGAAATCATAGCGATGGGATTCACTATTTAGGGTTTGAAACAATGAGTGCTGCTCTGTGTCATACCTGCCATCACACAAATCCAACCCACCAACAAAGCTCATAATTTCTCTATCATTCACAGACTTCGGTGCTTTGACATCAACGGTTATAGTCTTCTGATGGTGAGAAAACAGTGTCGGGAACTTATGGTGTAATCTGGGACACTTTCTGCATATAACTCTTGTATGTTTGAAGTATGCAAAAGCATCCTCGTCATGGGTATTCATCATGCCTTTGTTCTTAATAAATGACAAAGATGTTTCATCATCCCAAAGCATCACCCTCACTGCCACTCCTTCCTCTGCCTTCCTTTTTAACAGCTCACCAAGCTTTACTCCTCTTGCATATGGGATTTCCGTTTCAGGATCTCTAACCTGCTCAAAAAGCATATAAACTTCTAAAATTACATAGAGAATGAACAAAGGGTCAAATTACTCGATTGATTATTATTCTGCGTGAATTTTAATTTGTCTTTGTAATTAAAAAGTTTGTAATTTGGTTCCTGAAACTTTACTTTACTTTATGCCCCAAAAAAAAAAAATTTAAAATTTAATCCTTGCCATTCAACCTTCATTTGGTTAAATTCTGTGGACGACCCTTAGCAATCTCGATCTCAGATCATACATAATTTATATTATCTCAGTTGAGACACTGACATAGATGGCATCACATGTCATGCTTGTTAGCAGAGTTCATGTCACTATCTATCTTACTCCTCTTCTTAACTTAGATCAAGTCTGTTTAGAGAATTAAGACAACATATGGGTGGTCGCATTAGTAAAATTTAACAACACTTTAATGGACTCCAGAAATAATAAATTAGAATGATAGGAATCCAATTGTACATTTTTAAACTGTATAGACCAAATTAAAATTTTGAGTGAAGTCATGAAGACTAATAGGAAAGAAAAAAAAAAACTTAACCATAAAAAGGAAATTCTGAAGGTAATGTTTACCAGAACCATCTTAGGATTGAAGGACCACCCTGCAATGTAAACTAAGTACTTTGCACCCTCAATGGCTTTATACACATCCTCCCATAGCCTTCTTGGAGCTCCACAGTGATCAAAAGGAGGTTGAAAAGTGAAAGAATGGTGAGCATCATGATAAAGCTTGACCTGACAATTGGACCTTTGTGGAAACGAGGCATCCCTTAAGCCATGAAATTCCCCATCCCTTAGTAGCTTTTCCCAACTTGGTTCAATCCCTGCTGGTTTGAACCACAATAGAAACCTTAACTTGAGTTGAAGGTTTCGTTTTCCATTTTCCATAAGGAGAGGGAAGAAACCATTGATTAAACTTTCTTCCTTGAGTAACTGCTGAGCCTTAATATGGAATCTCCCCAATATGGAGCATGATGTTTTCAATGTGAGGGTGATAATTGAATCTGCTGGGTGAGCACATGGGATCTGAAAGGTTTGATTCCACACACGATCTCGCTCTTGACTTGTCTTTGCTACCTTCTTGTGGCCTAACTTGATGGTCACATATGCAGGCTTCCCATTTGCATGGATACACTGATGAGATGACAAAAATTTGTAAGAGTTTGCAGAAAAACACTGCATGAATTTCAAGGCATAGCCAATGCAATAATTTAATGATAAGTGGAAAAATACATAACTAGCCTCATTGAACTTTAATTACTCTGAAAATAGGAAAGCATGTTCCTCAATTATCAATCTTCAAGATCTAAACCTTTTAGCCCATTACCTCGTTACAGAGATGTTTCATCAAATTCTATCATTTGATGCTTCCGGATGAATGAGAGTTAGTATGGTATGTGACAGAATAAAATCTTGGAAGGTGATAATTGAGGAAAGTTTTATCAATTATCAGTTGAATAGGTGTCTGCAAAGGACATAAAAGAACGATAGTACATGTTTCCTTAATAGTATTATTATCTGGAGCTTACATTGAAGGGAAATGCAGGTGCATAAGGAGTAGCATTGAAGATGGTGGCTTCAATTGTTCCATGGAGGAGCTCAAGTTTTGTCTCCATTGCCTTGCCTCAAAAATGCACCAGGGTGAAATTCAGAGAGAGAAAGAGGGAGATAGAGCTGTCAATTTTGTTTTGACCGAGAGGAAGTGAAAGCTATCATTACTGGTTATGCAACGAAGGTCATATATAAAGGTAGGTAAGCTTGGTGTTGCAGAAGCAAAGGGAATCTTGGGATGCAATGGAACATTGAGCAGTTTGGAAAATCTTGTGGACGTTCTGGCTTCCAGACTTGTTGGCACAGCCAATCTTCAAGTATGTCCCATCCCAATATTTTGCTTCAAGTTACTTAAACACCGATCACAATTTTACTTTCTCTATAAGATTAAACTATAACTCCCGGTCATGTGATTTCTCTTCCATTTACATCTTTTTGTCAACAAAGAAATTGCTGATTTTATTGTTCTGCAGGGAGACCAAGTTTATTGGAGAAACATTCACACGGCAGTAATGGGGAGATAAGTTGTTACTCCAAACTTTTATGGGGACCCAAATCCTTGTATAATGTCATCTACCTATGTAAAACAATAGTAAATGCACTTTCACATGTGTAAAAAAAAATTATTTCTATGAATTTCGGACTGAAGAAATTTAAATTTCAGTTATAGATGAGGCGAAATAAGTAGCTTCAATTTTTATACCTTCATTTCATTTTAGTTCAAAAATTTTTATATTTTGAGTATTTATGTAATAATAATCTTATGATCAGATTATAACTCAAAGAAGTGAATTTCTAAAATATGAAGTTGGTTATCACTTTTATTACACATTGTTTTTGTTTTTCCTTCGGTGAAAGCTTGAGTGCCTTCTCTTTTGGGTAAACGGAAATATTTGAAAGAGAGATGAATTTTGACTTTGCTATAAGGAGCTGAAGTTTCTTCGAAGGTCAACTTGCAAAAAATGGTCATATGAAATTCAAGCATGAGATTCATTAGAGCACGGGTTAGTACTTTTAAGCTTGATTAGCTCTCAAGGTTGAAAGGTCGGCCCTGATGGCTACATCTTTTATTTATTTTTTTTCATTTTTCAATTTAAAAATTTAAAAAATATATAAAATTTTAAAATAATTATTACACATAATATTAAGTTTAAAAAAATAAACTTAAGTCAATCCACACAATAACAAATTTAATTCTAATAAAAAATAATATTACCTCCGTTCCAAATTATAAGGTACTTTAAATAGATTAAGGTTTCATTAAATGTGTCAATTTTAATTTTACCCTTCCTCTCTCTGTAATTAATTTCAGTCTTTTTTATTTTTAATATATTAAATTATGGGTATTTTTGAAAGTTTATATTTTTGTTTTAGAAAGATAAGGTTGTTAAGTATATTTAATGAAGTTTATTGATATATAAGATTTTATCTAAAAGTGTCTTATAATTTGAGACAGAGAAATTATTATAAAATCAACTTCGATAACAATTAGATTTTACTAGCATCATCAACTATTGATGGATGAGGGATGGAGGAAAGGAAGGTGGCCAATTGTGTGCTTGGTTAGTTGGTCGATTGTTGGATGAGGGAGAAGGAATGAGAATGACTAAATGAGGATAGGGATTTCTTTTAGTGTATGATTGTATGTAGTGTTTAATTTTTTTAAGAATAAAATTTAAAAAATATATAAAATAACTTAAAAAGGTTGGCCCTTTTATTTTCCAACTTAAAAGGACCAATTATTTTTAACCTAAATTATCATTTTATATCCTAAAGTAATGATTAAGTTTTAGATATTTTTAAATTTAAAAGGACTGACCCGACAAACTCGAGGCTAATTGATAGCTCTTAATTGATACTCCTTATTTTCCTCTCTCATGCAGTGTCATTTATTAATAATAAACAAATTCTGGTGAACGTATAAGAAAATACCATCAAACCCTAGATTTTGTAAGGGTTAAGATTTCTTCATGTTTCTTTTTTTTTTCCCTCTTTATTTTTAGTTTTTTTAATTTAAATGCGTGCCTTGTGGAGTTTGGCCTTGTCTTGGCAATCTAAACTTCTAAATCTAGAATATGAAGAATACATACATACATACATACATACATACATACATACATATACATATATATATATGTGTGTGTGTCATTAAGTAGATAGACTTACAAAGAGAAGTCAATTGGAAAAACCCGAGAAAGGTATCAAACTATTTTGTAGATTGTTTAAGGATTTGTGTGGATACACATTTAGAATCAATTTTAAAATTTAAAATCGTGATTTTGAAAAATCCTATACAAACACCTTAATTTTTTCAAGCTCTATTTGTCTTCTGAAACTTTGTTTGGTATAAGCTATTTTTTTCTTTATTTGAGAATCAATTCTCAGTATTTGAGCATTTTCATTTCTTCCTACCTTTATAATTAATTCTAAAAAATTATCAAAATATTTCTATTTTTAAAATTAATTTTAGAAATTATTATCCAAACATCATCATGTTTTGTTAATCAATTTTTGCCAAAATCCAAACACACTTTAAGTGATCAAACAATTAATTAACGATCATGAATTGGGAGGGTGGTGAAACGAGTAAGAATGAAAAATTTAAGTTGATGACACAATTAACACTCAAGTTAATGTCTTTATTTGTTCTATTCTAGCTTTGTTTTCCTCATTATAATGGACCTGGAATTGGTTCACATCTCATTTGAACAATCTAAATGAGATTTAAAAAGTTTATATCTTTTTATTTTTTATTAATTTAATAAAATCAGGTGATGCTGTTATGTAATGTAACTGTGTCTCATTATTAATTTATTTAAATTTAAATGCCTTTTAACATTGAAAACATTTAAGTCACTGTGCAAATCGTTGCACTTGAAAATGTTAGTCCATCTTTCCTCGCTTAAGATAAGAATGCTTACTTTTAATTAAAAATAATAAAATACAAACCATTCAAATTGGATTTAAACAATAGAGATGTGCATTCACCTTTAAGTTAAAGTTCGCAAGATAAACATATTTTATTTTTTTGTTTAACATAAACTTGTTTTCCCTGACACGTGCACTTTTTTAAGGGCATTGTTAGATAGCATATGGAATCATTCAACAATAATATACAAATTGAAACTTTCAAATAAAGATTTGAGTGAATTATAAGTTGGGTAAAGAAATTATATAATGATAGTTTGGCGCGCGCGCGCGCGCGTATAGGTACTAAATTTTCTTTTCTAAGTAATTGATTTTAGAGATAATGGGAAGTATATACTAAAAGTAAATAAATAATCATCAATATATACTAAAAGTATATTGTTCATGTAAGGTAGGAGAACCGAAATGTTGTGTTTTTAAATTTTGAAAACAAAGGGAAAATGCCACCAACTTATTTTTGCAAAATAGAGGGGTCAAAATTAGACAAGTTTTCAAGGGAAAGATGAAGAAGTAGGATTGTCTCAAAACAGTATTTATTAATATATATTTTTAGAAAAAATTATTTTATTATATACTCCCTCCGTTAAAAAATATAAAGCATTTTTAATCAAACCTCACCCTCCAATAAAGTAATTTCTCACTTTCAAATTAATCCTATCTTTTCATATTTATCTCTGTTAAACACTCTACAATAAAATAAAATCATTATCAATAGATGCACTTTTGAAAAAAAAAGGCAATGATTATACCTCAAAAAATTAAAAATACCTTACATTTTTTCATTTAACTCCTCAAAAAATGCTTTATATTTTTGAACTGAGGGAATATATTTTTAGAAATTCAAAACAGTTTTTATTAACATTTTTTATACTATACTCCCTTTATTCAAAAATATAAGACATTTTTAATAGAATTTCACTCCAATAAAGTAATTACATACTTTCAAACTAATCATATATTTTTATATTTATTTTTATTAAATACCCTACAATAAATATAAAGTCATTATCTATAGGGACACTTTTGGAGAGAAAAAGACAATGATTACACCTCAAAAGACTAAATATTTTTTATATTTTTTAACATTCAACCCTTTAAAAAATACTTTGTATTTTTGAACGGAAGAAGTACCTTTATTCATTCCAAAAATTTCAAATATAATTTATCATACTTTAGAAATAATTTATTTCATGTATTAATTAGATTTCTAATTAGATGCGCAAAAACCTTAAAAACATATATTTTAAGTATCTTGAAACTGAGGAATAATAACATACTCTTTCATTTAAAAATATAAAATATTTTTAAAGAGATAGGAGGTTAACAAATGCTACCCCAATTTCAAAGACAATCACATTTATAAAAAGATTAAAGATGAAATACAATGAAAAAGATAATATTAAAAAATATCATTAATAAAATTTTATTTTTATTAAAATATTTTTATATTTTGAGACGCTAAATTTCCACCAAATGTCTTATAATTTGAAATAAAATATAAAATATTTTAAATCTTTTAATGTGTAATTAATAAGATTTCTTCCAAAAAATGCAGTTAATTAAGGGCATAAACAAAAAAAATATTTAATTGAGAAACCCTATTAAATATAAATAAACATGAAAAGAGTCAACAAATACAAATTTAAAAATAATTAACTAATTGAAAATACAATTCAACCAAAAATGCTTTATAATATTAAAGAGAAGGAATAAAAATTGAGATATGAGAAATAATTAACTATTTATCAATTACTCTCCCCAATCTTATTTATAGGTCATTTCTATCAATTTTATCAATATTAATACTAACACAATCAAAATATGAGAAATAAAATAAGTGAAATTCTAAATATAATCTTAAATAAAAAGCAAAAAAATAAACAAAAAATATAATATTTTTTTATTTTTCTCTCCTTTATTTTTTAAAAGTAATTTAAGAATTTTAGTTTAAAATAAAATAATTTTATCAATTAATAATTTATAAAAAAATTAAATTATGCTACTAAAAAGTAACTAATATACAGTACTGATGGAATATCAATTATAAATAACGTTGATTTATAAAATTCCGTGCCATGCAAAAACCTGCAGTAGGCTGTAATCAAAATTCTGCGACATAGAGACAAGGGTGAAAAGGAGTAAGGTTTTTGGGGATAAAGCGAAGAATAGGATTTTGCCTTGTCAAAAAAAAAAAAAAAATGGCCAAAACATGCTAAGAAACGACGTTTGACATTTTCTATTAATAAATGAGGGAGTAATTAATTCTGAACTTCTCAGGCTTCTTGTCATCATCAGCCAACTAAGATTTTATCTGTCTTTCATCTTTCAAATTTCAAAATTTCTGACATTTCTCCTTCCCCCCAAAATCACAATTAATGCTTACAGCCTCCATCACTATCTCAACCTGCGTGTTTTGGATTCTCACAAAGATTTTGCTTCAAAATAAATAGCTTAATAAATGCATCACAGAAGCATTTAACTATGTCATCCATGCCTCGTGAGACACTCCCTCCATTTAAATATTAAACATTTTTAAGAAATTAAATTTTTAAAAACATAAAACATTTTTAATTTTTTAAAACATAACCATTATTTTTTTGAAAAAATATCTTTATTAATAAATAATTTTATATTTATTATAAAGTATTTCATAAAAATAAATATTTAAAAATAAAATAAATTTAAAAGTAAATAATTACTTTATTAAAAAATGAGATTCCATTAAAAAAGCAAAAGCACACTAAAAGCATCGAACCACCATGGATTGAGCA